GAAGAAGGGTCTAGGCCCGAAACGTCAGCCTTCCTGCTCCTCTGATGCTGCTTGGCCTGCTGTGTTCATCCAGCTCTACACCTTGTTATCTCAGATTCTCCAGCATCTGCAGTTCCTGCTATCTCTGAAATAATGTATCCATAGTTGCTGGAGATAAAAAGCTAGAAGGCAGTGTGAACCATGAGGTGGATGAAAAGAGGCAGCTAAGGGATACTAACTGTTGTGATCAGCTAGGAAGGTTAATGCGGGTTAGTGTGAAACTATCCAATTTGATATGAAGAATGGAAAAGAAGATTTAAAAGTGAGAAACAAGCAAACATTGGTATTCAGAGGCATTGGGGAGATCTTTGCATACGAACAGAATTGCTATTCAGTACAGCAAACAATTAGGAAGGTATGTTAGTTATATTAAGTATGTTAGCTTTAATTGCAAGAGGGCTTTAACAATATACGGGCAACTTTTCTGCTGGCTAAATGGGCATTGTTCCATCTAATCGGGAGTTGTGCATGGGGTGCCGGCAGAATTCCCATTGCAGCACACTCCAAAGAAATTGTCTGGGGAATTCCTCTATGCCAGGACCCCTCCAAAGGTCAGAAATTAAATCTAAGACTTTGGATAGTTCTGATGAATTATGTTATAGACTGTTAAATACATATTCTAACTCCTGAGAATTAAACAGATTCCATATTTGCTTCACACACACCCTAAAAAACACCTCTCCCAGACCCTTTGCAGTTCCCAGGACCAACACCCCAGAGCCAATTTCTCAAATCCACCCTGACCTGTCCTAAACACTGCATATATTGAAGTGTCGAAGAATGATAAGTGGTCTTTTCGAAAGATAGAAAAAAATCAAAATCATGGGGTCAATGCTGAGAAACTGATACTGCAGGCTGAAAAGTCTTAATTAAGGGGTTGGAATTAAAATGGAAAACTGCACTTAGTGTTGAGAATTTCTAGAATTATGTACCTCAGCTGAATTGATAAATAGATTGAGATTAATAAATTTTGGCTCATGGAGGGGCAAGGACAGGAAAGTGGCATAGTTTAACTATTTTATTCAATAGCAGAATAGGTTCAAATGTTGTTCTACCTTTGTCATAGGTCAGTATCCTATAGTTCCCCATCTAACAGTATTCTTGGAACAACTTTAACTGTGAAGACTGTAGTCAGTTCAAATGGTATTCAGCACCATCTTGGGTAACTTGCCAGTATGCAATAAAATGTGGGCTGCGTCTGCTGACATCCAAGACATGTAAAAAAAGTGGTAAGCTAGTAGGCACATAAAAATGAAAAGATTTGAATGAAGGAACGTATTGGTAAATATAAAAAAGGTGTCAAATTTTTAAAGAAAAATGTAAATATTGGCTTGCTAATTGAGCATATGCATGTGCAGAATGAGAAAAATCAGAGGTAAGCATATGCTTACCAGCAGTTACTGGTGAATTGTTGATGCCAGCAAACACTTAAATGTGAGTGTTGTGGATTGTTAGAATGTACAGAAGTGACCCAAAAAATTAAAAATGTGGCTTGGACACTCCTGGCGTTTGGATAAAGTAAAAGAGCCTGCAAAAGAATTTCAGTAGCTTAAGTGAGTTGGCAATAATTTGATGCATTTAAAATTGTGGGAAAATGTGAGATTCTTTATTTCGTCTTTTAAGTAGAAAATCACAAAGCTATTTAACTGGATAGAGACTGCAGAATGCAGAGAGATCTTAGACATCCAAAAAGTTTATGGAGGGTCAAATGTGGGAATTTAGTTGTCATTGAGTTGTAATAGTCAAATAAAGAGACAACACAATTTTAAGCTGCTTATATCCCTAACTCCTAGCAAGTCCCCTTCACTTCTGTGCTCACTGACCTACACTGGCAGCCGATTCAGCTATGTCTCAATTTTTAAAAATTACTTTCCTGTTTTTAAATTTTTCCTGAGCCTTACCTTTCCCTTTCTGTGTAATCTCCTCTAGCCCTTTCTCAGCCTACTCCAAATCTAATTTCTTGAACATCCCTGAAGTTCATTGATCCGCCTTTTGGGCAGATGTTCTTTCAGCTGTCAAGCCCGTCAGTTTTGGAATTCCCTCCCTCCCACTCTATCTCAGTCCTCTTTTGAAATGCTCCAAAAACTCAAGAAAGCTTTTGATCCTCTGTTATAATATTTCCATCTGTGGCTTGGTGTCAGTTTTTTTCCTGCTATTCTCCTGAAAATGTTTGGCTATGTTAAAGGCACTATATAAATGTGAGTTTTGGTAATGACCTTGGATTTTTTTTTTTAATTCTTTCATTCTGGATGTCACTGGATGGGCCAGAGTTTATTGACCTTAAGGTGGTGGTGAACTATCTTCTTGAACAGCTGTAGTACTTTTACTTTAGGGAAGGAGTTACAAGACAGTTCAAACACAGATGCTTTTACCTCATTTGTGTCAATGCTGCTTTGTTTTCAAAAACTAGATAAAAATTGAAGATTTTATCACTTAAAGTTGACAATGTTATTGCTTCCTAGATCAATGCTCAACCATAACAATTCTAATTTGGAGCACTAGGTGTTTTTTTAAGCTGTTTCAGGAACCAGATGCAGTCAAATGTCTGAAATGGACACCTTAGTGTTAATTTTGATAATTAAACAATTCGTTAGACTCTGCACTGAGTCCAGAATAGGCACGATCACATCTTTTATTTTAAGAACCATTTTTCTCACTGCTTTGACATAATTGGGCATAATTGTAGTTTGGTGTGTGTGTTTTTGCATATGTCCTTTTGAAGATTACCCTAATTTAGCAACCAGTCAGTGCAGGGTTATACTCAAGGGAGGCCATGCTGAATGTTAATGAGAATCCTTTCCATTTTAAAAAGACACCTTGGCTTGTCTGTACAGAAATTGAATTCTTTAGGCAGTGTGTTAAACATTCAGAATCTGCAGATGCATGATACTTTCCAAATAAACACGAGCTGCAGTCTTGTGGTTTTATGAAATATTACAACAGGTCTCAAAAGATTAAGCGTCTTTAGATGTTTGAGACTTAATACAGTATAGATAAGACCAGATATTTTTGCTAATGATACAAGTGACTGCATTTATAACGTATAAATGACACACGCTGAAATTTTTAAAAAAAATCTATTCCTGTAATAAATTAAAACACACCGCTTTCTTGGAGTACAAAAATCTAATACAGGGCGCTGCCTCATGAATGTTGTACAGGAACAGTTGAGTTTGGGTTATATCTAATGTGTAATTCTTCTTTGTAGGTGTTTTTCCCAGAGGATGTTGGATCAAATAAAGGAGCTATCATTGGTCTCATGGTTGGTGGCGTTGTCATAGCAACAGTGATTGTCATCACCCTGGTGATGCTGAAAAAGAAGCAGTATACATCTATTCACCATGGTGTTGTTGAGGTAGGTAATTATTTACCAACCATTTAAACTCACGTAACCAGTGATAGATATCGTTTCATTCTGTTGATTTTAAACGCTGCTGTCTTTGTTTTGAATCTTTTTCCTCTCAACCAGTGTTCTCCCTTGCTTTACTGAAGATTTTGATTTATTGCTGTTTTGACCAAGTAACCATTACTCATGCGCAAATGATTGGTTCTGGCAAGCAAATTCTTATTACTCAGATGAGCTCAATAACTAGCATTGTCATTCCCTCCAGGGTTTTAATGTAAAACTGAAGTCTGAGGGTAATAAATAATGCTGATGGTGGTAAGTGTAGGAACTAGTTGCAGGATGGCACACTCCCTGTCACTCGGCCCATTCAAGGTTGAGCCTTGACATTAGGCTGTGAAAGCAACATGAATTTGCCTCAGCAGTTAACTAAACATTTGTGCCTGAAAGTAAATGAACAACTGGATTTGTAGATCTTTTGGTTTTCTTAATTTGCACTCTCCTGATTTCTTGCTGCAATATAGTTTCATGTGCTATAAATCACATATGGTTCTTTACACCATCTCCATTGTATGCCTAAACTGTACATGAGCAAGCTATCTAATTTCACACTACAGCCTGTCATACTCCTATGTGCTTACTTTCATCAGGTTACTTTGCGTTCACGGCATAGTGACAGGCCACTCGCCCCCAATTGGTTTATGCCCTACACAGATCGCCTCTTTCTCCACTGCACCACTGAGGTGTGTTGCAAGAACCCTTTCAAAGCTTAGTAGTCAGCTTTCTGTTTTGACTACCCCAATTCTAGAATCTTGAAACCAGTTATAGTTCTACCTCCTCCCTCTGTTTTTCTCTCTTAACCACCCCCATCCCCAACTCCCAAAACTACTGTGGCCCCAACTGAGATGAACCATCTGTACTCAGAGCAGGGATTGAACATAGAATCTTGCTATTTGGCAAAGTGCCACATCAGGCAATACATTATCATACTATTAACAGGCAGTGTTGGGGACAGTGTAGGAAGCATGAATACAGATGAGGTGGATCAATTAGAAAGTTCAGTACTAGGTTTTTTCAAATAATATCTAACAGCCTCTGATAACTGCAGTGCAGTGAAATCTCGTGGAGAATGATTGCAGAACAGTGCAGCAGATTCCCACAGTGGCATTATTTTAGCACATTTATATTGCATTTGGATCTTCTAAGAGAATTTCAATTACTTGTTTTTTGCAATTCATGTTGATTCCCAGTAAAGCCACCAACAATACCTTACACAATTTATGCTTTTTAATCTACCAAGCACTGAAATATTTTTTTCCATATTTATCAAAGTATTCCTTGTCTTTGCTTTAATGTTTTTTAAAACTTATCATCAAGCAAACAGATGCCTCCATGAGGACTGCTTGTTATTAAAGCATGCTCAAGTAATTGGGAAGAGATCATGTTGACATTCTTTTACTAGGTAGACCATATGAAGCACAAAGCTTCCCTTAAAGAAAGCTTGAATATAACTCCATAAAGACTTGCATTCAGTGTTCAAGTCTTTATTTTAAATTAGACTATGGCGTGGTGGTGACTAGCAATCCAGACCCCAGGCAATTATTCTGAGGACATGAGTTCAAATCCTACCCACCAGCTATTCACAATATATATTAATGATCTGACTGAGGAAACAAAATGTAACATCTCCAAGTTTGCAAATGATACCAAGTTGGGTAGGAGGGTGAACTGTGACGAGGATGCTGAGCTCCTTCAGCATGATATGGACAGGTTGGGTGAGTGGGCACATCAATGGCAGATGCAGTATAATTTGGATAAATGTGAGGTTATTCACTTGAGAAGCAAAAACAAGAAGGCAGATTACTACCTGAATGGGTGTAAGTTGGGAGAGGGGAGTGTGCAGCAGGACCTGGGTGTCTTTGCACACCAGTCACTGAAGGTAAGCATGCAGGTGCAGCAGTCGGTAAAGAAGGCAAATGGTATGTTGGCCTTCATTGTGAGATGTTTCAAGTACAGGAGCAGGGATGTGTTGTAGTTATACAGGGCCTTGGTGAGACCATACCTAGAATATTGAGTGCAGTTTTGGTCTCCTTTTCTGGGGAAGGATACTCTTGCTCTCGGGAGTGCAGCGAGGGTTTACCAGGTTGATTCTGGGGATGGCGGGACTGACATATGAGGAGAGATTGACTAGGTTGGGATTGTTTTCACTGAAGTTCAGGCGAATGAGGGGGTTGCGGGGTGGTCTCGTAGACACATGTCCAGTTCTGTTAGAATTTTACAGGATAGATGCAAGGATGATGTTCCTGATGGTGGGTGTGTCGAGGTCCAGGGGTCACAGTATGAGGATTTGGGGTAGACCATTTAGGACGGAGATGAGACATTTCTTCACCCAAAGAATGGTGAGCCTGTGGAATTCATTACCACAGGAAGTAGTTGATGCCAAAACATTGAATGTATTCAAGAGGTGACTAGATATAGCACTTGGGGAAAATGGGATCAAAGGTTATGGGGAGAAAGCAGGATTAGGCAGTTGAGTTGGACGATCAGCCATAATTGTGATGAATGGCAGAGCAGGCTCAAATGGCCGCCTCCTGCTCCTATCTTCTATGTTTTTTGGCAGATGATGAAACTTAAAATCAGTAAAAAATGTGTCTAACGGCAACCATGTAACCATTGTCAATTGTCATAAATACCTGTTTGGTTCACTGATTTCCTCTAGGAAAGGAAAACTGCCGTTTTCACCTGGTCTGGCTTACGTATGGCTCAGACCCTTGGGATCTAAGGGATAGGCAATAAATGCCAGCAACGCCCACATCCTGTTACCAAATTTAAAAAAAGTAATATGAATCATCAGTTTTCCAGTTAAATATTTATCCATTATCAAGTATGTCTAGATGGGTCGCATACTGTCCTCTGAGTCAGAAGCGTGAGCGTTTTAATCTTGATCCAGAGACTTCAGCACAATGCAGACTGATACTCCAAGTGCAATACTGAGGGAGCAGCACAGCATCTGAAATGCTGCCTTTCAGATGACTCCTTATTGTGAATCCCCCAGAGGACTGTGAAAGATCCATGGCACTACTTTGAAAAGGAGTAGGGGAGTTTTTCCTGGTATCCTAGCTAATGCTTTCCCTCAACCCACAACTGAAAACATCTGATCTCATCATCACATTGTTGCTTCTGGGATTTATTGTGTGAAAATTTGCATTTGCCACATTCCAACAGTGACTGCACTTCATATGCTTCATGGGGTATAAAACATCTAGTGGAATTGAAAAGTGCTTTATAAATGCTTGTCTTTTTTAATCTTGGTGTTGTTATAATAGCCATCTCATCCTTGACTTTCATGACTTTGTGTGGCGGGTTTTAACTATCTTCAGTAATACCCTTTGAAAGTAGAAAATTCCAATTAGAACACAGACTGCAATTGCTCTTGGTGACCCAATTTGCTTAAAAAAATGGTTGGGTTTACTTCCTGTTGGTTGCTAACAATTTAGGCACTGCCTCTGCATTAGTGGGGAGGGAATGGCCTAGTGGTACTATCACTGCAATGTGAATCCAGAGACCCAAATAATGTTCTGGGGACTCGGGTTCAAATCCTGCCATTGGCAGATGGTAGAATTTGAATTCATTAAAATTAAGAATCTACTGATGACCATGAATCCATTGTCAATTGTCGGAAAAACCCATCTGGTTCACTAATGTCCTTTTAGGGAAGGAAACTGCCATCCTTACCTGGTCTGGCCTATGTGTGACTCCAGACCCACAGCAATGTGGTCGACTCTGAAATGCCCTCTGGGCAATTGGGGATGGGCAATAAATGCTGACAAGCCAGCGGCGCCCTCATCCTGTTAATGAATAAATAAAAAACATGCAGCCCCAAAATGGCTTTCAGGCAGTGCAGTCCTTCAAAGGGAGTGTGCCGCATGATATAATATTTTTAAACATGAACAAAATTATATAAGTCTTCCTTGCCTCTTGCCAACAGGTTGATGCTGCTGTAACTCCAGAGGAACGCCACCTCTCAAAGATGCAGCAAAATGGATATGAGAATCCAACGTACAAATTCTTTGAACAGATGCAAAACTAAAAAAAATGCTGACACGTCCGTTCTAAACAGTAGTATAATCTCCCAAGCTGGACAGCATATGATAGCTTCTACCGTGTGGTGTTCAGTTTGCCCAAGACACTCCGTGTACCATTATTCTGCTCATTCTCGCCTTTTTTGAACAGCTGTGCTGTAACACAAGTAGATGCCTGAACTGGAAGAAGCGAAAATTAAGAAACGAAACAAATGTATTCTTGATGAGCATTTTAACTGTTTCACTACATGATTATTAATGAATGTTTTTTTGTGAATTGTTAGGATTTCTCTGTACTTAGTGCATGATGATATTTGTCTCCTACCCAATTGCTATTTATCATGTAGTTTGTTAGCAGGTTGTACTGTAATCTTGTGATTTTGTGCAGATTATGAAGTCCTCCTTAAATTGCGACATGCTTTAAAATATTCGTGCTAAAGTCGGTGGGGAGGGGTTATGTGGGTGCTTCTGTCTTGGTCAGTTTTAACTGCTTTGCAGGTGAGCGGATACCATGCTGGTTTGGTATTTCTTTTTTTGAGGTGGGTGGGTGGGAGGGATGGAATAGGGCAGAGAGATGAGAAAAAGCAGGCTTACTATGCAGTAAAATTGTAGTGTTAGTGTTGATTATTCCAGGTAACACAACAGGACATTTTTTTTCTTTGCAAGGGAGCTGCTGTTAAACTGAATCTTCTTCGATGCTGTACAGTGTCTGTGAGCTGCAGAATAAAGGAAATGTCTGATTTCTTGTGCCTGTGTTTTGTGTACCAATTTCAGCGTCATTTACTTCGAATCTTTTACCCATGTTAATCTTTGATTCTTTTTCTGAATGTAACTATATTAGATGTGTCCCTGTGACCTGCATACCCCCATGACAGAGCAAGCAACTTCATGGGGACATGCTCGAAGCAGATGTATATACTGAGATGTGCTCTCAGTGATAAGATGGGTTGTACAGATGTAGCTTTAAGAATGGCTTTCTACAATGTATTACATAAATAAATTTAACACGATTCTTAATGAACTGTGGCTTGAATACCGTAGTTTTGTTTCTTTAAAACACCTTCAATTTGTGTAGTGAGGCATATTTGTTGTCCTTAGAAAATGTGATAATGAACAACCATCTTGATCCAGCACTGCAATCCAAGAGATGTACATACACATTCTAGGATATTGACCCAGTGACTATGAATGAGTGGCAACAAGTTTCAAGTCAGAATGATGCATAACTTGGAAGGAACTTGAATAGAGTAATGTTCTTGTGCACCAGCTGCCCTTGTCCTTCTAGCTGTTAAGAGTTTGCAGATTTAGAATGTTCTATCAAAGGAGCCTTGGTCATTTACTTGCAGTGAATCTTGTAGATGGTACACACTGCTGCCAAGTGCTCTTAAGGTTTCTGGGAGTGACTATTTAAGGTGGTGTGTGGAAATCCAATCAAGCAAACTGTTGTGTCCTGGTTGGTGTCCAGCTTTTTGTTCCAGTGTTGCTCATCCAGGGAAGTAGAGGGTATTCCATAAATAATCCCATCATAAATGATGGAAAAATGAACAAAAGGTAATGCTGAAGCATTTACAGTAATCTTCAGCCAGAAGTGCCAAATGGATAATCCATCTCTGTCTCCTCTATTGGTCCCTAGCAGCTCAGATACCAGTCTTTAGCCGATTTGAGTCTCTTCATGTGATATCAAGAAATGGTTGGAAATACTGGATACCGCAAAAGCTATAGGCCCTGACAATGCCCAGGTATGTCCTGTACACACAAATCCAACCCAGCCAGTTACCACCCTGTCGATCTGCCCTTGACCATCAGCATATTGATGGAAGGTGTCATCAACAGTGCTATCGAGCAGCACCTGCTCAGCAACATCCAGTTTGAGTTCCATCAAGGCTGCATTTGACCAACTATGGCATCAAGGAGCCCTAGTTAAACTGGAATCGGGGGCAAATTCTCTGCTGGTTGAAGTCATACTTGATAGATAGGAACGTGGTTATGGTTGTTGGTCAGTCATCTCAGCATTGCGACACCTCTGCAGGAGTTCCTCAGAGTCCTAGGCCCAATCATTTCAGCTGCTTCATCAATGACCTTCCATCCATCATATGGTTAGAAGTGGAGGTGTCCACCAATGATTGTATAATGTTCAGCACCATGCACAACTCCTCCGATACTGAAGCAGTGTATGTTCACATGCAGCATGATCCAATGTCCAGACTTGAGTTGGCAAATGGCAAGTAACATTCATGCCACATAATGACCATCTCCAATCTAACCACCATCCAATGACATCCAACAGTGTTACTATCACTGAATCCCCCACCATCAACAGCCTGGGGGTTACCATTGACTAGAAACTAAACTGGGCTCATTATGTGAATACACTGGCTGCAAGAGAAGGTCAGAAGCTAGGATATTGTGGTGAGTAACTCACCACCTGACTCCCCAGAACCTGTCCACCATCTACAAGGCACTAGCTAGGAATGTGATGGAATACTCCCACTTGCCTCGAAGAGAGCAACTCCAGCTTGACAACATCCAGGGCAAATCAACCCATTTCAGTGACACCACATTCACAAGCGTTCACTCCCTCCATCAGTGATGCTACATACTACATGGTATGTACTATATACAAGATGCACTGCAGAAATTCACCGATGATCCTTAGACAGTACCTTCCAAACGCTCAACCACTTGGTGGGACAAGGGCAACAGATACATGGGAGCACCACCGCATCCAAGCCACTCCCTGTTCTGAATTGGAAATATATTACCATTCCTTCACTATCGCTGGGCTAAAATCCTTCCCAAAGGGCAATGTGGGTCTCCCTACAGCACATGGACTGCAGCAGTTCAAGGAGGTAGCTCACCACCACCTTCTCAAGGACAACTAAGGGTAGGCAATAAATGCTGGCCAGCCAGCAAAGTCCAAGTCCCATGAGTGAATAATAAAAAAAAAAAAAAAATTCTATTACGCTCCTGATTTGTGCCTTATATATGGTGAATGGGCAATGGAAAGTCAGGAGGTGAGTTAAATACTGCAGAATTCCCTGCTTCTGACCTATTCTTGTAGCCACTACCTTTATTTGTCTGGTCCAGTTCAGTTTCTGATAAGTGGTAAGTCCCAACATGTTATTGGGGTATGCAGTGATGGCAAGGTAATTAAATGTCCTTGGGAAGATGGTTAGATTCTCTCCTGCTGGAGATATTCGTTTCTGTACTTATGTCATAGGAATGTTACCACTTGTCATCCCAACCCTGAATGTTGTCCAGATTTTGTTGCATTTGGATATGGAAATGGACTGCCACAGTTGAGGAGCTCTTGAATTGTACTGAACACAGCAATTATTGACAAAAATCACAGCTTCTGGCAGTCATTGATGAAACAGCTGATTATAATTGGGTCTGGGACACTATTCTGAGAAGCCCCTACAGCAATATCCTGGGGCTGTGATGATTAACCTCCAACAAGCAAAACCATCTTTTCTGGCAGGCATGCATCAAATCCTCCCTGATAGCGATTGATTTCATTTTTTTTGATGCAGCACTCAAAGATATTTTCTAATCAGCCTGTTTAGAGATGTTAGAGCGTGTGGGACTTGAACCTGGGCCTCCTGGCTCAGATAGGAACATTACTACTGCACCACAAGATGCTGTCTCAATATCACCTCATCTCTGCAATTTAAGTTCTTGTATCCATATTTGAACCAAAGCTTTAATGAGGTCTGGAAACAAAGACCCCTGGTGGAACCCAAATTGAACATCGTGAGCATAGCTCTCTATGGTTTAATTTTATTTAAATGTAATATATTTTTGTTTTAATTTGTGTGGATATGATTGCTGCTACTAACCAGGGCATGTAAGAAAATAAGTAATAGGAGCAGAACTGGGTGGTTTGACCCCTCAAATCTGCTCCACCATTCAAGAAGATCATGGCTGATTTGTCCCAGGTCTCAACACCTCTTACAATAATTTCAAAAATCTATCTCCCCTTTAAATAGTTTCATTGATCGGGCCTTCACCAATCTCTGGGGCAGATAATTTAAGATATTTGCTTCCCTCTGAGAGAAGAAATTCCTTCCTGTCTCAATTTTAAATGAGCGTACCTGTATTCTGTAAGTGTTTCCTTGTTAGAGGTACCCTCACTCGCAGAAATTTCCCAACATCTGCAGCATCAAACCTTAGAATCTTGTTTCAATAAGATCACTTAAACTCCAATGAATAAAGGCTGAAGGTGTTTAGCCATTTTTGATCAGTCAACCCCATCATCCACGGATCAGTTTAGTGAATCTGTTTTGAACCGCCTTCAGTATATCCCTTTTTTAAATACAGGGACCAAAACTATACACAGTACTCCAGGTACAGCATCACTAACACCCTGTACAGTTGTAACAAAACTTTCCTATTTTTAAACGCCAAACCCTTAGCAATAACGGCCAAATTCAGTTTGTTGCCTTAATTACTTGCTGTACCTGCATGCTAACTTCTTGTTTCACACGCACAGTAACATCCAGATCCTTTGTGGTGCTCTTTTTTTTTTTGGAGCTTCTTTCCATTTAAGTAATAGTCTGCCTTTGATTCTTCCTGTCAAAGAAGCAGATGTTAAACTAACTGACCTGTAGTTTTCTGCTTTCTGTCCTCCTCCTTGAACACATCACATTAGTAGTTTCCAATCACTGGAATCCTCCTGGACTCCAGCTCTGAAATATTTCAGCCAATCCTTCCACTGTGTTTGCAGCCATTTCCTTCAAGATCCTTGGATGCAAGCTTTTAGTCTCATTAGTTTGTCCCCTGCTTTGTACCTGGTGAGACAAACTGTTATGAGACCTTTCCTCCCCTTCGCATTGTGGTTACCTGTTATCTTTGGGATGTAGACAGTTTCCTCTGCCACGAAGACTGATGCAAAATATTGGTTTAAATTATTTACCATTTCCCTGCTCCCCATTAGCAATTCCCCACATCTGTCCCCCCAAGAGTCCTGCTCTTACCTCATATTTATTATTTATCTGTAGGAGCTTTTGCTTGTTGTTTTATACTACTTGCCAATTTACTTTCAGAATCAATTTTCTCCATTATCAGCTTTTTAGTCATCTGCTACAGATTCCTTAAAAAAAATAAACTCCCAGTCCTCTGGATTACCACTAATTTTTGCCACTTTGTATACATTTGTTTTTGATTGGATCCTTCTCATTGAGACCTTTTTGATCGGAATAAATTTTTGCAGAGCATTATTAGCTTAATATCAGCTAAAATGTCTGCGACTGCTCATCCAGACTTTCCTGTAGACTGTTTTCCCAGCCTGTTTTAGACAACTGTTTCTTCGTACCTTTGTAGTTGCCTTTATTTAAGTTGAGGCCCTCATTTGAAAGCTTACCTGTTCTCAAACTAAATTAAAAATTCTGCTATGTTGTGATTACTTCCACTTGAGGATTCATAACTGCAAGATCTTATTAATCCTACCTCATTACACATTCCTAGATCTAAAATAATCTGTTCCCCAGGTAGGTTCTGCAGCTAACTACTCAAAGAAGCAATCACTGATGCGTTCTAGAAATTCATCTTCTATATCACCCTTCCCCATCTGACTTGTTCAGTCAATATGCAGATTAAAATCACCCATGACCATTGTGGTGCCTCTATTACTTGCCTCCATTTTTGCCAATTTAGATTTTGACCTACAATGAGGCAACTCTGTTTATGCCTGGCTTATAGATGACTCCCACATGACTTATTTCCCTTGCTATTTCTTATTTCTACAAAAACTTACTTCACATCATGATCTATAGTACACCTATATCAATGCTCACCACCACACTGATACCTTCCTTTATTAGCAAAATGTAGTACGTTGAGGGAAAAGCCATAGATGCTGATCAGTTGAAACCAGATGGTGGGCAGAAGAAAAACAAAGAACAAAGAGATTGGGAAATATGAGGTTGGAGATCTGTATAGGCTGAATGAGTAGCCACTGATGGGGAGGATCAGGGTACTCCCAAGCGTTTAAAGCAAGAGGTGGTCACACTTGGGAGAATC